CCTTTGTACACGTAGGGCAGAGGACAGCTGACAAGTCACACACTGTACAGCAGCATCCCCTCACATGTTTACAATAAAAGTTTATTTTTGGAAGGAATGCTACCAGCAATGTACGGCGAGGCATCCGCCATGTCCAGCAGCGGGATAACCATGGCTAGATCTATTACTTCTCACTTAGCACTTGCAGGGATATCTGCAGTCCCAGTCTGGGACTACAAATCAAGCCCGGCTATAGACATGTCCCTCTGTCCAGAAGTACATGATTAAAATCTGCTGGGCCAAACATGGCGTACTACTCTGCCTTTGGCAAAAAATAGATCTGGTCAATTAAGCAGGGAATGCTGCTAATTGTAATAAAACATGGATAGCTGAGGCAGACCAGTGTGGGCCCAATGTGAAGCACGTTAGGGTATGCAATGCTAATTAAATAAGTGTCCAGCTTAAAATGAATCCAGACTTAAAAGTAAGGTTTTGCATCCAGAAATGTTCACTGTGCTTAAAGTCTACCCATTGACCTCCTGAAATACAGCAGTGCACTTTCCGGAATGTTGGTGTGCCTAGCCACCCCTGTGCCTACAACCTCATAGTTGTACAGTATATCTGCAATGTAAGATCTAAGGCACTGCTGCTCATATTTCTAATTTTTCTCCTGAGGAAGTGATGCTTCTCTACCAAGATGGCCACTTCCACACAGAGACACAATGCAGAACAATGTATGGTAAGTCAGTAATGTGAAATAATCAGCTGTAGGAAGCCTACAGGGAACACTGGTAACTAGTCCTTTGCCCTTTCTTCCTGCTTTTTTGTTTTTTTGGTGGGGTGGGGGGGGGGAACAGAAACTAGAGAGGAATTTCTTTTTAAAATAGGACAACCACCAAAATGTCTATGTTCCAAACCTCCTGAGCATTAAAAGGGCACTCCTAGCCAATGGACACACAGGGTAAAATGTTTGACTTCCCCACCCTGGGGACTCCTCCTCATACAAAAAACAATTAGAGCAGCTCAATGGACAGCGTTGAGCTTTGGATATATAGGTCCATCTCCCGGAGAGAATTTGGAACTGTTGGCCTGGGGGAAAAACACAGACATACCTATGCCAGACGCTATGACGAAGGTAGAAATGAGAAGCAGGTAGCTATATAATGTCCAGCACGTGCCACTGAAATATAAGCACATGCCTAGGAGTCAAATGCCTCCCAGCCTGGTGTTCCCCAGTCCCCATTGCAAGGGATTCAAAGCCTTTAGCCAGTCAGTGTCTCTGAGGTCAGAAGGTCTCTGCTTGTGTACAGCTATCACTGACCTCTATAGCTGTAGGCATTGTGGTGCAACTCATCTTTTATGTCCACAACAAAAGCACTAAGGTTGTTCTCTCAGCAGCTCATGTCAACCTTCTCCCACTTTCAGAGCTCCTGTTCTGTGTTTAAATTAGAGAATTAAAGGCTGGATAGCTATATTGCTGGGTGGGGGAGCAGGGCAAGCTGAGCTCCTGCTGGGAAGGGGAGCAGGGAAACCAAGCTGTTGAGTCACTGCTTGCAGGATGAGCAAATTTGCAGAAAAAAGAGGGGCAGGGGGAGCTGAGCTACCGAGAGAAGTACTACAGTGGTTCTGCAGTGAACTATAAGAATGAATTGCGCATTGTGCCTGCAGCTAAAGAGGTCAGTGAAGGCTTGCTTTATTTCTTGTTAAAATATGCAAATAGTTGAATGCCCATAGCCTGGCTTTGAAGAGTGAAATAGCAGTGTAGCTGTACTGTTGGGGCCCGGGGGCCACCATGACTTCCACCAGAATCATCTACTGTTTAGTCTTTGTTTGAGGTTTAAACAGATGTCAATGGAAGCCTGGATTACCATGATGAGCATTAAAAAACTCCTGGTTTGGTGAACCTTGTCAATCCATAGTTGCCTTCAGAAAATGCTTTGTGAGACACTTGCCAGTTCATGATCAATCAGCCATAACTAGTTGTGATTTTGCCCCTGATCGGACTAATCAATGAATGCAGCATTTATGCAATCAAAGTCCCTTTTCTCCATGATAGAATCTTGCTTGCAAAAAGTTTTTCAGGAAGCGTCTGTGTATTACAACCCATTGTGATGGTTGGGAGTGTTCATCACCACCCCTACTAGGAAAACACCATTCTTGGCTCAATATTAACTTGATCATTGCAAGCGATGCTTAAATAGGGCACACTGCTTGTAACTAGGGATGCACCGATAGTGATACTAGTATTGAGTATTTGGGCAAGTACTCATACTCGTCTAAATGCTCCTGATACTTATCCTGATACCGGAACTTCCGTTATCAGAAAGCCAGGCGGCGAGTCATTATATGCCGCCCGGCTTCCTGATTGGCCGGGATGAGAGAGCATGGAGCCTGATTGGCCTGGTGACAAGGTAGCATGGAGCCGGCTTCCCAGCTAATCAGAAAGCCAGACAGAGTCATTACACGTCGCCCGGCTTCCTTAATGGAACTTCCGGTATCGGTATTAGCAGAAAAAAAATATCGGTACTCATACTCGATATCAAAAAACCAGTATAGGTGCATTCCTTCTTGTAACTACTGGGTTGGGTTGGGTTGGCCCTGCCTTCAGACCCTAAACTTTAAGAAAGCCATGCAAAAAATACCCTCAGCCAGAACAGCTACTATCAGTTAACTGTATATTTTTCCGAGAGCACAGCAGGCGTTTATTACACCACCAATCAATCAAAATTCAACTTATGTGTCATCTCAATACAGTTTTATTAAATGGTTTTGGCCACCTCATGCCGCTGTTCTTTGCACAGTGTTGGGTCATTAAACAAGCCACATTATCAACTCTTCAGACTCAGAAATTACAAATACAGGTTTTTCTGATTGAGTTTCTGGCTATGGCCAGATTGTGGCCCCCGGTGCTGGTGTAGTCTGGAACGTGTACTATAAACACTCCGTTGATGCCTACACACAGCAATGAATTCGTAATTTAGCTCAGTCAAGTTTGCTCCTTATCTCAATCCAATAAACAGCTCTGCTTACACAATACATGCTATATACACAACAACAACAGCAATGCTGCCAGCTAACTTATAAACTCAATTGTAAGCAGAACTACAAACATTTAAAGGGTATCCACAGCCAAAACTTTTTTTTTTGCTTTGGGTAGGGCAGGGAAAGATAAGAACGTATACCAGATTATTATTGCGGTCTGTGTCCTTGCTGGAGAGATTCACCCTTTCCATTTCACCTGGCGACGGCTGTCATCTCGACAAAAAGTGATAGGGAATCCTCATTTTAACGCTTGCCACCTAAACACGCAATGATGTAATCTCGTCCGATGAGGACACCTGATCTAGTGATCTAATCTAGTGTTCTCGGACAGGAAGGGACCCCCCCCCCCCTTCCCCCCCAAAAAAAAAGAGGGTTTAAGGAAGGGGGCTTTAACCATTCCTTACTAAATCAAAAACACTTTTTGCTGTAAATAAAATTAATATACAAATAAATTAAAATGTAAATAAGCCCTAAAAATTTACTTTTCTTATTGTTCTCATTTGGTCTGTTAAAGCAGAACTCTAGGCATGTCACCCTACCCCATCCCTTAAAGCTTCCTCTGGCATTTCTTTAAACCCCCTTTTAGACTTTTTTGCTGGTCCAGTGTCATGACAGTTTCTTCTCCTTATTCCGGCGGTTACTGGAGCGGCCAATTTTCCAGGACCGAGCGGACAGGGGAGGCAGGTGAGGCAGAGCCTCACCTAGTATCATGGAAGAAAAAGCTGTCATCTTCAAGTCTAAAGCTGACAGCTCTTTCGCCATTCAGATCGGCTTCTAATCCGGTTCCACAGCAGGGAAAGCCTCCCCGCCTTGTAACCTGTCATGGACGGAGTGCTGCCTGTTAATTACAGGCAGCGCTGCATCCGGCATTTGACAGCTAAGTTAGGTTACACTGGCTTCCCCACTGCCTGTGTAACCTCACATAGTGAGACAAGAGCTTCAGCAGCCTCTACTCTTTATTAGAGGTGTGAGCTCTGTGGATGGTTTGGACCAATGCCAAAGCGCAATTGTTCCAAGCTATCCAATAAAAAAATAAATAAAAAAAAACAGTGAGGACTTTGATCTTGATGATCAGTGATAGGCAATTGAGGGACAGGGAGGCTCCTCCCTGTCTCCTCCTTCACACATAGCTTGGTGACTGGGTTGGGAGGGGAGGCGTTCGGCAGGCTGGGGTGGGCAGGGATCACACCCCGCACGGAAGGTGGTGAGCACCACCCAGCCCTGAAGTAATGTAAGCCCAGTCTGTGTAATAATGCGGCCCCTAAAGGGGGGTGTTTACATTGCAGGCTGGGGGCACAAGAAAAGGGCAAAATGAGCAATGATCTGCCCTGAAGAGGAATGCCGATGCTGGACCACCATTGCTGGATCGAGGAAGAAGCCGGGAACATCACTGGGGGAGTGTGAGAAGAATGGCACCGTTTTTGGGGTTTATTTATACAGATGAGGGGGAACCCCCCCCCCCCCCCCACAGATGAATTTGCATAATGACAGTCCCCCCCCCCCCCCCCAAAAAAAATGAATTTCTACTGTAAATATACTATTGAACGCATTTGGTAATATCTATTTGATAGAAAATAACTGTTAATACTGCCAAAAATCTCTCAGCTGAAAACTTCCTGTGCCCATGTGAGTTACATTGTTGCCAGCTGTTTCTGTGCATATATATCTCCCCCATATGCTTATGACGAGTGAATGTTGTCACCAAAGGACAGGAAGTTGGCAGGAACGTCAGGTGAATAGAAGAAAAAAAAAGTATGAAAAAAGAAAAACTGATGCAACCACCTCATCTAAGGACCAGTAAGCTGCAATATATTACAATGTTGCTCTTGTGTTTAGATACAGGTTATATTGGCATTTTGTGACATTTCTGTACTTGCGTGTCCTCTTCTAAACCCCGTTCATGGAATCACTCCATGAAAATCATCATTCTGGGAGATCTGTTTCTATTCATTGAAGGTAAATGCTATCGGCATACTCACCTTTTTTATGGTCTTCGTCTGTACTAGAGCCAGTTCTCGGTTTTCATCTGCTACATACAGGGACAATTTCACATACGGGTCACTGCAAGAGAAAACATACCGCGTCAGAATGGAGGACCAAAATGGAAACGAGGTGGAATTGAAGCCAACCTCACAAATTACATTGCTCCATATATCAAGAAACAGTATTTTACACAGGCCCGGGGGTTTAAATGAAAATTACAGTATTTTTATAGACAGTACCTATGAAAAGGGCAGCAGCTTAAAGTCAATCTCTGGGAAAACCATCTAACAAATGGAATTTAAGGTTTAAAAGTGATGCCTTGATGTATATTCTGTACATATATTTTTTAAAACGCATATACAGGCACGTTTGCTCATTGCATATCTGCTTAGTAATAGCACACTGTGATGCGTTTCCCTGCTCCTTCCTCTCAGTGCAAGGCTTTGGGTCAGGTCTGACTGACCTGACTGACTGAAAACAATGGATTCTGTTTAAGGCTGACTTACCTTAACACCAAATAAGAACACAAATACTCAGGGAGTTTACAGACATTGCGCACGCGTGCATGCACACACACACACACACACACACACTTAAAAATTACCATTTTAAAGCCATTTTGAAGTCCGGTAGTAATAAAATACTGCATATGCATATTTTCCGATGTAGCCAGCAGGTGGAGTTTCCAGCCTGTTTACAGAGCTCAGTAGCTTAAGCTACAGTGTATACATAGAGCAATTATTACCATCCCTCTCTACCTTCTGACAGCTCTGAAAGCCTCTCTATGTTAAAAAAAAAATACTATAGTGCTCTGTGAATCCTGTGCCATGGGTGTACCCTGCATCAATTGCTTAACTGATATACAGTATATTGCCAAAAGTATTGGGACGTCTGCCTTGACACGCACATGAAATTTAGTAGCATCCCAGTCTTAGTCCGTAGGGTTCAATATTGAGCCGGCCCACCCTCTGCAGCTATAACAGCTTCAAGTCTTCTGGGAAGGCTGTCCACCAGGTTTAGGAGTGTGTCTATGGGAATGTTGGACCATTTGTGAGGTCAGGTACTGATGTTGGACGAGAAGGCCGGGCTCGCAGTCTCCGCTCTAATTCATCCCAAAGGTGTTCCATCAGGTTGAGGTCAGGACTCTGTGCAGGCCAGTCAAGTTCCTCCACCCCAAACTCGCTCATCCATGTCTTTATGGACCTTGCTTTGTGCACTGGTGCGCAGTCATGTTGGAACAGGAAGGGGCCATCCCCAAACTGTTCCCACAAAGTTGGGAGCATGAAATTGTCCAAAATGTCTTGGTATGCTGATGCCTTAAGAGTTCCCTTCACTGGAACTAAGGGGCCAAGCCCAACCCCTGAAAAACAACCCCACACCATAATCCCCCCTCCACCAAACTTTACACTTGGCACAATGCAGTCAGGCAAGTACCGTTCTCCTGGCAACCGCCAAACCCAGACACGTCCATCGGATTGCCAGACAGAGAAGCGTGATTGGTCACTCCAGAGAACACGTCTCCACTTCTCTAGAGTCCAGTGGCGGCGTGCTTTACACCACTGCATCCAACGCTTTGCATTGCACTTGGTGATGTAAGGCTTGGGTGCAGCTGCTCGCCCATGGAAACCCATTCCATGAAGCTCTCTACGCACTGTTGTTGTGCCAATCTGAAGGCCACACAAAGTTTGGAGGTCTGTAGCTATTGACTCTACGGACAGTTGGCGAGTTCTGAGCACCGTGCGATTCAGCATGTGCTGACCCCACTCTGTCATTTTACGTGGCCTATTACTTCGTGGCTGAGTTGCTGTTGCTCCCAGTTGCTTTCACTTTGTTATAATACCACTAACAGGTGACCGCGTAATATTTAGTAGCAAGGAAATGTCACGGAGAGCGACACATTCTTTCACAAATGTTTGTAGAACGCTAAACATAAAAAATTGTTATAGTAATAGAATCGTATAGTAATAGTATTGAACCTGTGCGTATATTTTGCGCGTTTACGTGCCGCGTGGAGAACGCTACTACGTGTTGTTTACATTACTTAGCACGATGTAGTCCAACCTGTAAAATACAATCATTTTACAGCTCAACCACAGCAAACACACACACACACACACACACACAGTGGGGTGCTTTAAGGCACGCATAACATGCGTGCTGGTCCTGCATGCTGCCATACGTTGTTAAAATGCATTACAGTTCTTGCTCTTTTTTTTCCTTTTAACTTCAGTGCAGGCCAGCACATTGTGATGCATTTCAGCGCTTTGGAATGCATAAAAATGCACCTCCTGTCTTACGTTTTTTCAGTGCAATGCGCAACTTTGCCAGAATACAAATACAGCCAACGTGTTCTGGGGACCAAAGCCATCGCCTTTCAAAGGGCTTAAATAAAGCAAGACTATGGAAGAACTCAAACTGCTGGAAGCAGAATTATGCGGAAATAGACTGGAAAGCAATTTAGTATCGCACTGCCAGAATCTTTGCCTTCTCCGTCCATCCATGACACCACCAAAACTAGAACCACCAACTGACCTGGAATATTGGAACTACCTCTGATGCTTATTATTGACTCGCATGGTTCACATCTTGCAAGGAATGCCTTGGATAACCCACGCATTGAATCTGCTATTGCCTTTCATTCAAAAATAGAACTTCATCATGTAAAAATCTTTGCCATTTCCTCACCATAACTGGAACCACTGCCTGATCTAGAACATTGGTACTACCTCTGCTGCTCATTATGGACTGGAGAGTTGACATCTTGCAAACAATGCCTTCTACGCCCAGATGGCCCACATACTGAATCTGCTATTGTCTTACATTTCCTTTTCAATGTTGCACCATAATACATATCATTATATCTCTTCATTGGTTATGTATTGTACCTGGAAGCCTTGCTACTGCCTTCAAATTAACTTTCCTTGCTCTATAGCAGTGGTTCTCAACCTGTGCAGCCTTAGGACCCACATATGTCCTTGGCCATTAAGCCGCACTGCACTGAAACACACGGCATTACAGTGTGGGCGATTAACCTGTGTGGGGGAGGTGTGTTTGTGGTGCCATTCAAATGAATGGCAACGCAACACACCTCCCGCACCAGAACATGCGGAAGGTGTGATTGAGTGGTACAGTGCGTTAAACGCACTGTACAAGTGTGAGTGGACCTTCAAAAACACTGACAGACACACACAACCACAGACACATTCTCACACACTTCATAAACTCCATACACACTTTTTTTTTAAAAAGCTACCCAGTCTCCCTACCTTATGAGAACTGGAGTTGATCCTCAGCCTGGGGTCCAGTGTGGGCTGCTATCCTGTGACGGAGCTCCATTCATATATGCATTGCTTGTACAGCTCCCTTGCACACCTTGTACAAATGCTGGGAGCCAGAATGTGACGTCGCTCTGGTCAAGGCACCTCTACAGGGTGTGCAAGGGAGCTGTAAGTAATGCATGTATGGATGGAGCTCCCTTGTGGCTATACTCCCGGCCCACCCTACTTTGAGCTGACACTCATATTTTGAATGGCTGCTCAGTGCAAGAACTGACAGTACTGCACTGGGGGGAGGCTGAGGAGTCTCTCACCTAGTGCAGTGAAAGGCACACAGCGACCCAATAAACATGGGGTCGCGACCCACCAGTTGGGAACCACGGCTTTATAGCACTCAAAAATAAAAAACTTTATCGCGTAAAAATCTTTGCCATGTCCTTCTTGATCCTCCATGACAACACCATAACTGGAACGGCTAATTGACCTGAAACATCAGAACTAAAATACTCATTATGGACTGGACTGGACTGTCCACATCTCGCATGCAATGCCTTTGTCTTTTTGTTGGTCATGTGATGCACCTGGAAGTCTAGCTACTGCCATCAATTGTACTTTTCTTGCTCTATTTGTCTACAATATAAAACTTTATCATGTAAAAACCCTTGCCACATCTGTAATTGGCCTGGAGAGACACTATACGATAACGTTTTTAAAGCCTTCTATTTAGACAATTGACTAAATAAAAAGTTATACAGAATCGGCAACTTCAGACGGGGATCAGTGCCTGGACACCGTAGATATCCATCCACACCCAGACGGAATTTAGGAGTGCGCTTTAATCTGGAAATGGCCAGATTGAGATGAATCGTGTTGACCTGACCAATCAGTGCTGCATGCCCAAGGGCTCCTTTCTTGGTGCCCAACTCCCTTGCAATAATTCACCAACAACATAGAATACAATACTAGATTCCCTTTGAGAAAGTAAAAGAGGAATGCAGGTGCAGGAATGTGCACAGTGTTTGTTTTCGCCAGACGTGACTCCTGGGGGCAACAATTAGCGGCATGTTTCAGTTAATAACACTGCAATCACGTCTCAGAGGACAGCAGGCAACTGCTCGCAGATGACAGAACAGAATTTTAAGGAGATTTAGCCTGAGTGGTCCAGCTACATCTGACAATGACAAGCCCCAGCTCTGCTGTTCCCAGTACCGGCAGCACTGGACTCGGCTGGACCCACGCAAGGTGCGAAAACCAACACAAACCAGTCTAATTTGTTTTTAAAACCACTAGCAAAAGTGTGGACATTCCAGAAGGTTTTTGCCTAATAACTGTGGGGCAAATTAAAAGCCAATTGCAGCTTCCTATATATTATTTCTATAACACATACAGGCTGAACAAACATTAATTGTGGGCTTCTTTTTTATGTTTTTAACATTGTTTTTGCATAAAGGGTTAAAACAGTCTGAACTATCATCATGCTGAGAGCCGGACCACCGGTGAGCCGGGTCTCATGATGTTTGGCTTGTCCCATGCCCACTGCTACAAGCAACAGTTTACTCTGTTTGGACAGTCTGACTGACTGCTGTACTCTGCATCGAGCAGCGGTCCGGCTCTCTAGCTTACTGCTAGTGCTAGCACACAGTATTTTAACCCTTGCTGCAGCAAGAAATACAATTAAACTGCATTACAGTAATAATTAAAAAAGATTCAGATGGGTGTTTAAAAAGAAAAGAAAACCAAACTAGTGAACGTTGTCAGGGGGGAGGGGGTATGCATTTTGTCATAAGGGGTGCAGTGTAAGCA